CTCCAGGGAGAGGAAAAGGTCACATACAAAGGAATCAGAATGCCATCAGACTTTTCAACAGTAGAAGTGGAAGCCAGAAAAACAACACAACACCACCACCAAAAATCTAAGGAAAATGAATTCAAGTCTAGAATTTTAGGCCCAACCAAATCATCAATCAAGAATAAACAATTTGTTCACACACACATGAGCCTCAAAAAAATTTACCTTTAACACACCAGAAATGGTAGTGTTGAACCGTACATTAATTCAAAAATATAAACATAAAAAATTATTTTTCCAGGGGCACCTGGGTGACTCAGTCGTTAGGCGTCTGCCTTCGGCTCAGGTCATGATCCCAGGGTCCTGGGATCAAGCCTCGCATCAGGCTCCCTGCTCCGCGGGAAGCCTGCTTCTCCCTCTGCCACTCCCCCTGCTTGTGTTCTCTCTCTCAGTCTCTCTCTGCCAGATAAATAAATAAAATCTTTAAAAAAAAATTATTTTTCCGGAAAAATTTACCAAAACTGACCCATACAGGGGTGCCTGCCTGGCTCAGTCAGAAAAGCATGCAACTCTTGATCGCAGGGTCATGAGTTCAAGCCCCATTTTGGGTGTAGAGATTAAACAAACTTAAAAAAAAAAATTACCCAGAGATTTCTAAAAAGCTAAATTAGACCAATAATGGTAGAAGAAACTGAAAAATAAAGAGCTACCAGACCCAATGGCTTTGCAGACAAAAGTTCTTCCAACTTAGATTTAATGCAGAGATTTTTTCACACTGTCCTAGAAAACTTCACAACTCATTCTAGGAAGCCAGCATTTCATAAAAAAAAAAAAAAAAAAAAACAGGCACACACAAATATGCACACACAAATACAAAGGAAAAAAACTATAATCTGATCTTTCTTAGGATCACAGATAAATCCTAAAATGAAATTCAATAATACATTAAAAAGAACAAAGCACGAAGAAGGTTTTGAGACCAAGAATGCAAGGCTGGTTCAGCACTAGAAATCTATCGATACAATACATTAAGAGATTAAAGAAGGGGTCTCATAGATCACCTCAACAGATGCAGAAAAAGCCTTTGATAAAATTAAAAACCTAAATCAAAAACCTTTTTCTCTGCTAAAAGCAGTAACTGTAAGAAAGCTATAACAAACACCATACTTAATGGCAAAACATTAAAGGAACACTCGTTAAAACTCAGAACAAGATGACAAGATAGAGATGCCTTTCGCCACCATATGCTTCAACATCATACTGGAGGACTTGACAGTGAAAGCCTCCGAGACAGGCAGAAAAAAAAGAAATGGGAGCTATAAATACCAGAACAGAAGACTCTGCAGGTGTGACTAACCAGGAAATCTAAAGTACCAAACTATTAAAACAATGTTCGAAAAACCAGCTATATATAATTCAATTATATTTTTAAAAAGCTTTTCTATAATAGACCAGTAACAAATGTGAGAATGTAGGAAGATAAAAAACGCCATCTACGGTGACAAATATAAAATATTTAAGAATAAAACAAAAAACTACATAAAGAAAATTTTACTGGGGCACCTGGGTGGCTCAGGTGGTTAAGCATCCGAGCTCTTGATTTCAGCTCAGGTCATGATCTCAGGGTCTGGAGATGGAGCCCTGCATGGAGCTACCCCTCCCAACCGCCCCGGGGCACAGGCTCTCTCTCTGAAATAAATAAATCCTTAAAAAAAAAAAAAAAAAAAAAAAAACTTACTTAATGTTAAGTTCCATAAGGGTACGGATCTCTAGTATATTCGCTATATACCCCAGCCTCTTAGATTAGTGCCCAGCACAGAACAGGTACTCAATGAACACTTGGTAGAGATGCCTGACAAAAAAGAAAAGCCTGACAGAAACACTCCTGTTACTAGATGAAAGGACCCATATTGTAAAAATATCGAACACTCTCTAAATAAACTTGATGCAATCTCAATAGAATTCCAGTAGAATTCTTTATAGAACGTGATTGATGATTCTGAAGTACATTTTTTAAGCACATAGACTAATCAAGAAACTTCTAAAAAAGAATATGCCATCATATATACATAACATATATCCCTACATACCCGCATATATATGTACACACACACTATGAAGCAGTAATTCTAAAAAACTGTTAATGGGAACTTAATATATTATGAAGATGGAAAAGATGGAGCATTCAATAAATCGTATTAGAACTGTTATAGGTCCCAAAAGCACACAACACCCAAAACAAAACTCCATATGGAATTAAAGCTAGATATAAAAAAGCACAGAATCATAAAATGTTAAAAGCATAGAGGAACTCTTGGCATAGAGACGCCATTACAAAAAGAAAAAAAAACTTACAAAAACAAGTGACGTATTTCAGAGTAAAAATTTTAAACTTCCATATAGTGAAAAGTTTAAAACAAAATTATTTATAGGACAAGCACAATTTTTAAAAAGGGGGTTAATAATCCTGAGAAAATATACAAGGAATGAAAAATATATAAATAATGACAAAGAGATCAACCACCCAATAAAAAAAGCTAAACGATATAAACATGCAATTCACAGAAAATATATGAAAAGATGCCTAATTTCTCTGTAGATCAGGAAAATATAGCAACATTATGTCTATTCTGTCCCAAGATGAACAAAAATTAAAAAGATTCTTAGAAAGGGCATGGGAAATGGGGTACTCCCACACACCACTGAGGGGGGATAAAGTGGTACCAACTTTCTTTTTAAGGACAACTTTCAACAGCTATCAAAATTTTAAATGTATGTAACTTGCAACACAGTAGTTCCACTTCTAGAGGTATGTATCCTCCAGAAAACTGCATAAGCACACTAACTTGTGTCTATAATAGCTGTTTAGCACAGTATTTTCCATAGCAGTTTAAAAGCAGAAATAACTGAAACGGCCATCCATAAAAAAATGATTAAATGCTCAATAGTACTGACATGGAAGATCCCCAGGACCTACTTTTTTTTAAGATTTTATTTATTTATTTGAAAGAGAGAGAACGAGAGCAGGTGCACAGGGGCCGGAGCAGTGGGAGAGGGAAAAGCAGAATCCTCGCGGAGCAGGGAGCCCCACGTGGGGCTCGATCCCAGGGCCCCGAGATCATGACCTGCGCCGAAGTCAAATGCTTAACCGAATGAGCCACCCAGGCGCCCCCGCAACCCTCAGGACCTACTTTTAAGTGAACAAGGCGAACTGTAGAATACTACATGATTCGGTCGGTACCACAAAAGACCGCAAAGCTAAAAATTAAAAATGTTCAACTTACATATGCACAGAAAAGGGTTTAAGAGGATTCACAAGGAAAATATTTCGTACTTTAATTCACTCATTTGTCAAATTACTTGTGGAACATACACAATGTGCTAGGAACTTGGAATAAGCGGCAAGTAAAACAGGTAGCAATCCTGTCTTCACGGGGCTTACAGACTAGGCGGAAGGAGTTTTTTTTTTAAAAAGAAGCAAATAACAAAGTAAAATTACAAGCTGAGATAAATGCTCTGCAGAGAACAAGGCAGAACAAAAGGGAGCACCAGCGGGAGGTGGGCACTCCCTGGGTAAGGCCTCCCGGGGAGCCTGAGGCCTGGCCAAGGAGCAGCCAGCCCCGCAAGAGCGCGGGACCGCGCCCCCAGCGCAGAGCAGGAGGGCCGGCGAGGCCGGGGAGGCGCGGGGAGCCCCGCACGTGGGCCTCACAAACCTCGGAGGGATTCTGGCTTTGGTCCACGAGCAAGGGAAACCGGCTGCCTGTGCTGCAACGGCAGGAAAACCTCCAAAACGTCAAGGATAAGGCCTACGCAATCCTCTAAAACAGCAATTCTCAAACTTTCTGCACTCAGATCCATCAGGACACCGAAAGGCTTCTACTTCCGTGAGCTGCACTCGCGGACACGGACCAGCCAGCACCCAGCAGCTGGTCGCTGGAAAGAACGCGCCGGCACGCGTCCCAGCGGCCGTCGGCGCCCCGTGTTCACGCCCTGCGGCCTCCGGAAGACGCCGCCGCCCGCGGGGTTCGCGCGGACGAAAGCGGGGCCGGCCAAGAGTCCCCCGCCACACTTGGAGGACGCGACAGAGCGCAGGCTTCCGACCCCCGCAAGGCAGCCGAGTCAGGGACACCCCGCATTTTCAGGTTTTTAACTGGAAAGCCTCACCTCTAAGCAGCAAGGACGTCACCCGACGGCAGGGCGGCAGGCAGCAAACCATCCTGCCCGAAGCGGCCTCTGCGTTCAGCCACTAACGTTTCAACAGCCGGACCCCGGTTCTGAGCGGGACGACCGCGACGCAGTCACGGGCCCTCCGGCCTGGACGCCGGCACGACGCTCCGGAGCGCGCCCCGCAGGCTCCCGTCCCCGGTACTCCCCACCCGACGGGCCGCTTCACCAGAGCGTTCGCGCAGCCGCTGAAGTCACTTTCAAGTATTTTTCCATATTTAAGATGGAAAAAAAAAAACCCTACCTCAATCAACAAAACGTCATTTCACCGGTGATTCCCACCCGGCATCTTAGGGGCCCCGTCCAAAGCAGGGGACGGCACGCAAGGGAACGGAGTCAGGTCCAACGGCATCTCGCGCCGCTGGGTCTCTGCACAGCGCGGAGGACGCGCCGGCACGCTCCCCGGACCGGGCGGGGGGCACGCAGCAGCCGACCCACGAGCTGGGGCTCGTCCCCAAGGGCTCCGAGTGCCCGAGGTGCCGCACCGCCCCACACGCCTGCACGCCGGGGCTCTGCCCCGGGCCGGCACCCCACCTCCGCCGCTCAGAGGCCCCTCTCCCACAAACCCCGCTCTCGCCCGCTCGCCCGGTCCGAGCGGGTCGCGGCCCCGCAGGCCGCAGCCTCGCCGCCCGGGGCCCGCCGCCGTGCCGAGGGGCCCACGGCTGCGTGCTGCAGGCGAGAGCCCCGGCACCGAGGCCCGCGGGCCACCGCGGCGCGGGGACCGACGCGGGAGGCAGGACGACGCGGGCCAAGGGAGCCGCGGCCCGTCCCCCCGCGCGGGGCGGCTCACGTACCTCCGGCGCCGGCTCCTCCGCCCGCTCCCAGGGCGGCCGCCATGGCGCTCGCGGGCCCGGCCTTCAGGGTCGCCCCGCCAAGCCGGCCGGTGGGCCGCCGGCCGGCCGGAGCCCGGGGACGCGCGGCGGAGGACGGGGGACGAGGGGCCGGGACCGGGAACACGGGGGAGGCGGCCGGCGGTCTCGGGCACCCCGGCCCGGCTCCTCCGCAGGAAGAAAACAACAGACTATCGCAACATGGCCGCCGGCCCGCCCGCCGCCGCCGCCGCCGCCGCCGCAGTGCACGCCGGGATGATGGCGACCGGCAGGGCGGGCGCGGGCCGCCTCCGCGGCGCGGCGGCTCCGGGCCGCCTCCAGGGACGCAGGGCCAGCGCGGAGGGCGAGCAGACGCGCAGGCGCCGCGCTCGACTCCGGCAGCCGCCGGGTTTGCAGCGGCGTCGGGAGCGGTTGCCGGCCGTAGTCCGGTCCCGGGTTGTGTCGTACGGCGCTTTGCGGCAGTTGGCGCCGCGCTTTCCGGCCGGCGGCCCGCGGGGCGGTGGGCGGGGCCGGCGCTGCCGCCAGGGCCGGGGCGGGGCGTACTCGGAGAGGCGAGCCCTGCGTCGGGAGCCGGGCCGTGGGGGTTATCGCGACGCGCTGAGCCACGGAGCGCCGAGGTCGGTCGGAGTTTGCACTTCAGGGCAGCGAGAAAGGCCAGAAAACGAGGTGCCGGTGAGTGACGTCGAGGAAAGGACACGGGGCTTGGGGAGGCGCGTGTGCTTGTTGGCAGTTGGGGTGTGGGGGCTGTGGGTGCGGTGGGTCGTGGAGTACACACGAGCTGCAGACCTGGACTCAGTGACAGCGAGGGTGGGGGCTTGCGGGGGAAGGAAAGAAAGGGCCGTCGGGGTAGAAAGAGGAGGCCGAGCAGAGACTCAGATGTCAGAGGACTTCCTGGGGACCGAGACCTGCCAGCGTATTGGGGAGGAAAGAGGAAGTAAGACGTGAGCTGCAAAGGGGAACAGGGGCCAGATGCATCCAGGACTTTGGGGCATTTTCCTGAAGCTGTAGGGCGTGTGAGAAGGCTCTAACAACAGAAGTAACAGGATAAAATTTGTGTTTTAGGAAGACGGCTCCGACAGCAGGAGAGCCGATGGGCAGCATGGAGAGGTAAGACACCCTTAGGAAACGGCCGCCGCAGTCCAGGCAGCAGGTGGCTTCCTGCATGGGAAGGTGGACGTGTGACAAAACCTCAGTGGTAGACTACACGAACTGTAAAATTCTTTGAACTTTTACGTACGTTTGAAGTTTTTCATAATAAAATGTTTGGAAAAAATAAGCTTTCCTGGATTAATAACTAATGTTAGTAATTCTCCTCTAAAAGATAAAAACCAAAGAACAATTTTAGAAGTTATTTTGATTCAGCTGCATGTAATCACTGCAAAAAATAATAACGATGAGCTTGGTAAGCAACCGGCATAACTAAGTCTCCGTCAGAAAGCACGTCAGCACATCCGGATTTCAAATGGCTTGAACCTCCAATCAGCTTGCATTACTTTTTGAACTGCGGAGGATGGAATTCCTAACTCAGAAAATGTTTTTCAGGTTGGTTTCACTGGTGATCTAATCACACACACACATCCTGGTGATCTTGAGAAGGATGATTCAAAAAACCAAATACCCAAAGATGAAACAATCTCATAGATACTTTGTAGCCGGGTTATAATTGAGGAAAGACCTCTATCTCAGTTATGAATGACCTAAAAATGAATTCCTCTAGGACACGAATCTACATTTTTTCATAAGACACCCACTGGAAAAACTTGAGCATGGGCACCAAATATGTGAAGATGTTGATAAAGTACATTGAGTAAAGGTTTAACAAACCCCTTTTCTTCTCAACAGACAGATTTCACTTTGGGTTGACTTTTTAGCTTGTCCTAGAAACCTATGGAGTCAGAATGTCAGCTGTGTTATAAAACATCATTGGTCCTGTTAAAGATGCACTCTGGCTGGTACACTTTTTCTAGCTGGAGAAAACGGAATGATCTTTAAACATCTGTCAGGAAGCCAGACCTTTAGGCTCTGTTTTAACTGACTTTGGGGATCTAAAAGATAAACTCAGGTAACTATTATGAGATGTATCAGTTCCCATGGCCGAAGACTGCTGAGCCAGGGCCACTCCTACTCCATCTTACCCTGAGTGACAGCTGGGGAGTCACGAGCAGCTCTGCCAGGAGCTCAGGCACGCCTATATGGACCGCAGAGAGGAGTACCTGATAATGCCCTGCCCTCAACATGTGTTTCTTCTCTGTCCTCTTAAATGAAGCTGCTGCCAGTTGTGGCATTACAGGAGTGTAAATGGTTAAACCTAAGAAGACCTAGTGGGCACTTACAATTTCATACATCTCCCACTGAAAATCTTTCACGTTCATCTTTGTTTTTAGTTAAAAGTGAATATAGAAGCTTTCCTCTTATGTCAATAGGGACTGAAAAGTCTAGGGCCCCTCCCTCCTGCTCTAAAACTGATTTTGCAGAAAAAAATGTGTTGGGTTGCTGGATTTTAGAAATTAAGACAAATCTCCAGGGGATCAAAAGAGAAGGGGGGGAGAAAAGACCTAAGCTGTAAGTCGTGAGCATATAGGAAAGGTAGGTTTCTCTGAGGGAAGGTATCCTGTTGGCACTGGTAATAAGAAATAAGTTCTTAGCCCTCTGGTGGGGTGAGGGAGTATGAACCTGAGGCTCCCAGATTAAGCCAGAGATCCTGGAGGGGCTTCCTCAAATTATGCTTTTCCATGTTTTGCACAGTTTAAGATCAACCAACTGTGAACTTAAAATCAGAGATCACGAAATACAAGGGAAGAAACCACTGTAATTGAGAGTTGGAAAAATAAAAACTGTAGATTGTACTTCCAAGGACCTCAGATATTAAAATTGTCAGAAACAAAATATATGAACTGTTTAAGGAAATGAGTGAAAGTGAGAAACCAAGAGGAGCCGCCACAGTAACCAGAGAGCCGTGTGCCGCTGTCCTTTTGCTCTCCCAGCCTTCTCCTCAAACAGTCTTGTCCTAAAGCCATTAGGGGACACTGGCGGTGACATGGCAGGGGCGGGGGAGGTGGACACAGCTGTGCTGACCCAGATCTGAGTATCAGACCCCATGCGCCATAAGAGGGCTGCCCGGTATGGGGAGTGAGATCAAAAGGGTGAAGAGTATGTCCTTGTTTGTTGGCAGGCCAGGGTAAGGAGTCACCTGAGCAGAGTAAGGAGGGCCTCTGCCCATGGGACTAGTGCAACCCAGAGAGTCCCAGCCTGGGTAGGATACCAGGACGTCACCCCGGGTGGGCCCATAGAATCTATGTTCAACTTTTCTCTAAGTTTTGTATTGCTTTGAAACAAACAAACAAAAAATATTAAAAACAGGAAAGGACCAAAGAGAACGTTGTTTAAAAATGTAATTGCTGAATTGTGGTGACCGTGATGGTATCACAGGTGTGTGCACGTGTCCAAACTCATCCAATCGTGTACATTGAATACGTGCAAGTTTTTGTGTATCAATCATACCCCCATAAAACTATGACAAAATGAACCTTTGGAGTAAAATCCCAACAGAAAGGTTAAATAGATGAGACCCAGTTGAGGGAATTTTAGAGTTGAGGACAGGCAGGAATGGATTGCCCAGAATGGACCGCAAAGAGGAAAGGCATGGAACAGTGTGACGGAGGCGTTTCGCAACTGGGAGGGCAGAACAAGAGTGTCAGACCGCGGGTGCACAGAAGAGAAAGACCGTGGAAGAGAGGCAGTATCTGAGAATTTTCGAGAACCAATGAAAGACATAAGTCCACAAATACAGGAAGCATGATGAGCATCAGGTAAGCAAAGTTAAGAGAAATCTATACCTAGATGCAACTAAAGAATGTGTCCAAAAAAGGAGAAGACCTTAGAAGCAACGAAAAAGAACCTGCCACATCTGGTCATGCCAGAGGAGCGGGGGCAGGCTCCCTGCACATGTTACAGCATGAAAGCTGGACAAATGTGAAACGCACTGTTTTCTGGTGTTGGACAACATGCAGCGCTGGACCGTGGTCACCAAGACAGAGGAAACCACCATAGCGGGCCTTACGTCTAGCTCTCTGCCGGGAAGCACTTTCTGGACGTTGGAGGAGGAGGGGAAACTCAAGTAAAACCCAGCGATCATAATGACTTGAGAGATCAGAGTTTCGAGGAGCTGATGGGGGCATTTGTGGGGCTCAGTGCTAGAGGTGATGGAGCTACATTGAGAAGGAGCCCCAGAAATCTGCATGGGGTCACCTGGAATGTCACTGCAGCTGAAAGCCCATGAGGATGGGAAAAGTACAAGAAGAGTCAGCTGTAAGTGGAACAATTCCCAGAGTTCACACCACTGTCCCCATGATCTCCATGGACGTGTTCAGAGCTCCTGAGGTATGTGCATCCCACTTTAGATATGGCTGCTTCTCCATTTCCTAGGCCAGCATTTCTCAAGGCTCCATCAATCTTAGAAATTCGCTTTAAAATCACTTTTGGGTGGGCGCCTGGGTGGCTCAGTCCATTAAGCGTCTGCCTTCGGCTCAGGTCATGGTCTCAGGATCGAGTCTGGCATCGGGCTCCTCTCACCAGTCAGAATGGCTAAAATTAGCAAGTCAGGAAATGACAGATGTTGGCGAGGATGCAGAGAAAGGGGAACCCTCTTACACTATTGGTGGAAATGCAAACTGGTGCAGCCACTCTGGAAAACAGTATAGCAGTTCCTTAAGAGGTTAAAAATAGAACTATCCTATGACCCAGCAATCACACTATTAGGTATTTACCCAAAGGATGCAAACGTAGTTATTCAAAGGGGCACCTGCATCCCAGTGTTTATAGCAGCAGTGTCCACAATAGCCAAACTGTGGAAAGAGCCCAGATGTCCACTGACAGATGAATCAATAAAGAAGATGTGGTGTACACACACACACACACACACACTGGAATATTACTCAACCATCAAAAAGAATGAAATCTTACCATTTGCAATGACATGGATGGAACTAGAGGGTATTATGCTAAGCAAAATAAGCCAATCGGAGAAAGAATTATATGATTTCACTCATATGTGGAATTTAAGAAACAAAACAGAGGATCATGGGGTAAGGAAGGAAAAATACAATAAGATGAAATCAGAGAGGGAGACAAACCATAAAAGACTCTTAACTCTGGCAGCTGCCCTGCAAGCTTCTTGTCTTTTCCCTTTGCTGTTTTACAAATGGGAAGCAGGGAGAGGAACCGC